TGGACACTATTGCAGAAGCTGTTGGTTTCCAGGATGCTTTAAGCTGTCTACACAGACTGAACTTTTTCAATTTACCCATCCACGCTACGCAGCATAGATGGAGGAACTTCCCCTGCTGACTGCTTTATCCTGACTGTAGGCACCCTGGGATCTCAGGATACCTTAACAGTGACTGCATCCGATTCCCTGTTGGACGGACAGTTTTCCACTGTACACCTCAGGCTTGTGGACATTTTTGAAAAAAACTACTTGTCCGAGGACTAAAACGGGGGCCGAATCTACTTGTCCCTCATGACAATCTACTCGTCCTGATACAAAAACATTTTTTTTTAACCAAAACCGTCTAGCAGTGCTAAGAAGCGCTTCTCATTGGCAAGTGCAGTCACGTGACCGCGTTGACCAACGAGTGCTTGCAATTTGTGAGCGAAATTCAGAATACATGGAGCAGGTACAGATGGTACAACCGTACTGGTGGACGGGAATGACTGTTTGCCGAAAGGTAAGTATAGTGGGAGGGAGATTTGTGCGGGTAATTCCATTTTCCAAAAACCACTTGCCCGGAACTACATGTCCCGGTCGATACAAATTCCACACCCGTGCACCTCCTTCGACAATAGTTGCAAATGCAATTTTGATCAAGCTGTGTGGTGATGCCAAGCTGTGTGGTGATGCCAGAACAACCAATGGGTCAAATTTCAACTACATCTGCAGGAAATCTGATCTGCGTGTGGCCCACTTTGAAGGCGGTGTGGCCCTGGGCAGGTTAGGGTTTGTAATTATTACCCTGATAACGGTGCCCATACACCTTGCGATTATTGTTTGCTTTCCACATGAAATTGGCTTTTTGTCCGATAATTGGTCAGTTGATAAGTGAACGACCAGAATTACTGTACAACTGTCCCAATTTCGTCTATTGGGCAAGCTAAAAAAAAACGTTTTTCGAAAAGGAATGAAAATTGAGGAATTGGTGTCGGTTTTCGTTCAACAAAAATCACAACATGAACACTGCACATGCGCAAACGGAAATCTGTTCGGTCGATAGACGAAATTTGGCCAGTTAGTATTGGTGACCAACGATTATGAAAATCTACATTGGTCTGTGCATGATGGGGTATTTGTGCGGAAATTGAACAAGGGTGCGATGACGGGACAAATCAAATTGAACGATAATTGCAAGGTGTATGGGCACCTTAAGAATTACAAAAATTATCAAATGACAGTTTTGGATGAGGGGGGGGGGGTGGGGGCGGGAATTCTTTTATTAGAGCTTTCCATTAGGCCTCATTCACACCTAGATTTGGGAGGATCTCTCTTGGCTTGCCTCTGCTGTTTTTTCTTTTTCTGTACACGTTTTGCTTTTGAGGTTCAGATTTGAGTTGGTTGTGTTCAGGTTTTGGAAGGAGCGTGTGTACACAGCGAATACTGGATGCACATAAAAGCATAAAACTAGGCTGTATAAATGGGCTCAGCAGGAAAGTTCTGTACTTGTTAGGTGTGCCGGGGCATAGGTTATTATGTATGGTAGGCAGGGAAACAAACTGAACAGGTGAAAAGAACAAACATGACAATGTTAGAAGCCTATAGGAGTCACCCATGAGAGGCACGAGGACTTCAGGAAGATTTATAAGACATGGCACTCCGTTCCTGAATACTAAGCCATGTACTATGCATGTGGGGTCAGAATCCATTCCATCATTGGCTTCATTCTGGAAATGTGAATAGCATTGATAACTGAGCAACACGGGCTATTTTTAACTCTTTACTAGCACTAAATTATCCTCTTGACAGTCACTTTATTTAGTGCATGTTCAGGCAAATTTATACAAATGGAACGATTGTCCATAGAAACCCTTCGGCTTTAGTGTGAGAATGGGAACAGGTTATCGGGTTGCTGTGGGCAGGAGCCATAGTTCTGCTCCAAGTGGTGCAAAAAAGCAGTCTGATTCTTTTCTGACTCCACTGTCGGATGCATGGATGGGGCAGGAACTAACTGAGGGTGATAATGGATGCTTTTAACTTCTCTACCATTTATCACAAAGGTCTTCTAACACACGGGAAAGTTTCTATTTGATGAAACTAAATCATTTTCTCCAAGTTGCATCTCATTATTCCATAATGGACAGGTGCCTTTCTAACCACTATTCTCGGACAGCCATCTGCCATTCTGTTGCCAGATGTTCAAACTTCAGGGCAGGCGATGTGGTGCAACTACAAGTCCCATGAGGTATTGCATGACTTTCAAAGGCCGGGGCATGATGGGATTTGTAACTGCACCACAGCTGGAGGGCCGAAGTTTGCCTACCCCTGCTTTAGGGTATTGTACATTATTAATTAGTCAGAAAGCTAACCTCTTGCCATTAAAATGGAACTGCAACCAAAACTTTTGTGTTTTTATAGTGGGAAACACTATCAGATTTGTATTGCCCTTTTTCTCTGTTGGAGCATCTCCCTCACTTTTATAGTTCAGCCACCCCAGAACAGGAGGTGAATGGAAATCTCCCATTGTGGACTTCTGTGATGGCTGTCGCAGGCTCCGTTTTCTCTTTACTTAATTTGTCTCTGGGAAGGAATGCAAGGCTAAATCTTCCCAAAAAAACATGGATGACCACTAGAGCTAGGAAGTGCTTCTAACCGTTCCCTCCACCCCAAATATTTTGGCTTTAAAAAATAGAATTAAGGGACCGTAATATACAGGGGTACAGGTACTCCTAGAATGAGATCCCAATAGGTTGGACTTGATGGACTAATGTCTTTATTCAACCTCAAATACTATGCAACTGTGTATTACTGACTGGATTTATAGTCCTGGCTACAGCCGTGTTCAGACAGCCACTAGATGGCTGGTCAGACAGAGCCAAGCAATCCATGGATGTGTCTGAACCAGTTTTCTGCATTAACCCAATGGTTAAAGGAGAACTATGAGGTGAGTGCTTTTCACTCACCTCATAGTTCTAGCCGACCTGTGACAATGAGACTGTCACAGGTCGGCTCAGTAGATCGGGAGGTGAGCGAACACATACCGGCGTTCGCTCACCTCTCGATCCTGTCACGGCTCTCTGCCGTGACAGGGGAGGGGCTGGATTCCCCCCTCCCCGCTCCGATCCGCCAGCGCTGACTGGTGGAACGGACGGGGGAGGGGGGGGGTACAGCTGGCTCTGCCTCTAGATAGGCAGAGCCAGCTGTCAGTCACGCAGCTGGGCGGATCCCAGCACAATTGTCGGGATCCGCTTCATCTGCGGCGTCTCAGTATACCGCGAGCAGCTACAGCTCGCGGTATACTGAGCCTAGGGTGATGGGAGGACGCTAGTTTGTGTCCTCCCGTTACCCTAAGGAGAACTATGGGGAAAAGCCTTAACCCCATAGTTCTCCTTAAATGACTTGCTAATCGCACCTAGAGCCGGACAACCCGAGGTGAAGGGTTTACATGACTTCCTTATCACACCTAGAGCTGGAGAACCTGAGGTGAAGGGATAAATGCCTCCCTAATAACATCTAAAGCCAGATGACCCAGGGGTGGAGGGTTAGGTCCTCTTTAGTAGACTGCAGCATTAAGGACATGGCACCTCCCTTTGCTACCACGACCCATCTGCATTCATACAATTTTTTAATGTTAAGCAGACCATATACTTGAAGAATGTTATCAATGAGATAAGTAGCTCAGGCATCACTAACAACAATTTGGGTGGGCACTAAACAGAATGTAGAAGTAGGTTGCCTGTACACTTTAAAAACTCTAAAGCTGGTATAAATCCCCCAGTCAGTCCTGTTGCTATTGTTACCCCAAAGATTTGGTCTATGTGCACCTTCCTGGAATGATGGTGCAATACATTTGCTTTTAGAGAAAAATCATGTGACAGTCTGATTTTCTGACCGCTGTGTTCTGTCTGTAGTTGTCTATTCTCCATAATGCAAAACAGAAATGATTTAGAGTTTGTTTACACCATAATCTGTGCGTTCTGGATGCGTGTCCGCGTATGCATTTATACATTTTTCTTTTTTGCAATGCATTTCCAAAGTTCTGGTGTGTTTAATTGTATTCATGTGTGTTTTTTTATTTATACATGAGGGCAGAGAGTAAACCTGTTGGGCCTGTTTTGTTTAATATGCAGATGAATTTGCATTCCTGTCACTGGGGGTGGGGAGCAAAAATGAGTGACTAGACAAGTTACAAACATTGAGGGGAATCTATCGAAACTGGAGCAGACAAAATCTGGAGCAGTTGCCCATGGCAACCGATCAGATTCTCTTCAGTTTGTTCACTTAAGATTTGAAAATGAGAGAGAAGCTGATTGGTTGGTTGCCACGCACAGCTGCTCCAGATTTTGATAAATTCCCACCCATTTTATTTATTTTTTTGCTTGCACACAGCATGCACAGCACAAGTTC